GATCCCAATCTGGACTCGGACGGCTTTTGTTCTCGTGCATTCCTCGCCGCCCGGGCTCAGCTTGCTCCAGAACCACCACCATCGCCTCCTGCCCCGTCGCGCTCGTCGCTGCACGTCGTCGCGGCTGCCACGCCCGCACGCCAGCACTCGCCCCTGTCTCGCTGATCTACCACTCGCCCGGAAAGTTGGGGGGTCCGTCGCTCGTCTTCTGTCTTCCGTGGCGTGGCAGACTAGCTGCGTATGGCTCGTACGCCTCCCGCAAATAGCCCAAAATTAAGTTGAGCGTGTGCTGCTCGTGCCGGCATCAGATGCCGCGCGTGTTTCACTGCCCCCTTCTCGTCGCCGCGTACCCACAGCATGCCTTATGTGGTTCCGAACCCCACCGACTAGCCACCGTTCCCTTCCCGTCCCCCACTTCCTGCCCCAGCGGCCGAGCCCGGACAAAGGCATCCCAATTGCAATTACCCCCGCGGCTTCGCCCTTCTTTTGTTGTTGATCATCCCATGATATATCAGGTTTGGACGGAGCTCGGTTCGGAGCTGCGCTCCCACGCCAGCTCGCCCCTTTTATGCGCTGGTTTGTCCCGTACAATGCACCCTTTCAGCCCCTTCAAGCTCAGCGAATGCGTGATCGAGCGGCCCTCCGCCTGCGGTCCTCGCTTACCACAATGGCACTGCGCCTCGTGTCGTCCCGTCACGGACACAACACGTACAAGGAAGGACCGATCGCATCCGGGCGATGTGTCGATAACGCAGGCATCCTAGCATGCGATAACATCCCAGCCCGTTCCTCGACACAGACCGCACTGGACGGCTCAATGGGCCCCCGTCATCAGGCCATCATCTGTCTTCCATAAGTGTGGGATACTCAGGGTCCTGCCAGCACATGACTTATCGCAGCAAATCCACATTTACAGCGCACCATATTCGCTTTTCCCTGCCCAGGCGCGCCTGCCGGCCGAATCATCGCGAAGGCTGGCCCTCGTGCTAATCGCATGCTTCCTAGGGCCCCTCTCCCACCAGCGGGAGCACGTTCTTCGTATGGGGCAGCCCACGGTCAGTTGTCAGAGCGGCCAGAATGCCTCCGTCGACGGTAGCGGATTAGAAGTCGGTCGTTGCCGTGAGTTCGGAAGGAGGCCCGACTCGCACGACACAGCCCCGAACCTGCTCCATGTCCGCTCTACGACCCCAACCCCGTCCTCAACCCCATCTGTCCTGCTCGATATCCCACAAATCGATCTAGGCTCTACTTCTGGCGCTGTGCGTAATAGCGACACGAGGACCCGTACGTCTCAAGAACGATCTGCGACAGTGCGTTTCCCACCCATCCCGCGCGTGGGTGTATGGCACAACCGCGCCCTCGGAGCCACGGCTGATCCAGCAACTCGCTTACCGAACGACTCCGCGCCGCCACCGCTGGACTTGCGCTAGCCACCTTCGGACAATGCTGCCTACGCACTCGCCGTGACGTGTCGTTCAAGTCAGTAAACCTTCTCAGACTCCCCGTTTCAGCGACGTCGCTTATCGGATTCAATCCCAGCTGGCGACTCCAAGCGTGCACACGTCGTGCGTGTTCGCTTAGGCGAACTTACGTTCAATTCGGTGCACCCACAACTGCACAGGTTGGTTGGTCAGTTCAGTGGGTGTTTGTTCCCCTTGGCTGTCGACCTAGCTAACGGACGCGTAGCTACTTGGCGCACCCAGGATGACGACGGTCTGGAGGCGCGGATTCCCACGTACCTCCGGCAAAGCAGTTGCGGCGTCGGTCTTCCGCTCTCTAGAATGCAGAGCCCCTGCCGCCCGGTTGCAAACGTCGCAATCCAACGTCCTATTCGACCGCTCGCTTCTAGCGCATTCCTACCACATGCCTGGCGGGGCCGACCGACTTCCCCGCCTTGGAAGCGCTTGAGCGCCTACCCGACCGCATTGTTCTCCAGGGTCGTCGTGAGGTTGTAGCTTTTGTTTATGCAGTCCCTAGAGTGCGTTGTTGACGATACAATGGCCCGCAGCGCGTCAAGGCCGACAATGCATGTCATGACAACCAAAGTGCTTTGCGCTCTCAAGGTCTCCTAGGCCCGGCTATTCGTGCCACCCGGATGTTGTAGCCGCTCACCATCCTCCCAACTTGCGCGCCTGTGTCCGGAAATACGCTGCAAGTCTTGTGGCCGCGCCTCACACCGATCTCATATATGCCAAAGACCGGACGGCGTGGTCAGACCACCGTGCCCATCCTCGCTGCTGGAGGTCGCCTCTGTCCACCACGACGGTCGGCGACCGAGCTACGGTGATAAACAATATCCGCTGTTGATCTGCTCGTGAGCGGCCCTGTCTACGGCCCTCTCCGCTGGCACGCTGACGGCTCCGTGACAGCTCCTGCCAGCAGGTGTGTTGCCCACTGGGTGACCGGCGTTCCTACCGTTAAACTCGGTTGACTGGTCGTCCTCTCGGTGCGATCAGCCATCAAGTAGTACGTGACGCGTCCTTCAGGCGTTCACAAAATAATTGCCGCATACAGACAATAGCTCCTCTGCCTCTCCGCGTGGTACTCGGTGTGCGGAGGAAGCAGAGGAGTCGGGCGATAGCACGCCACCCCAGCGAGGTTTCGCGCCACTTCATTTCGGGCCCGCTTTATTCTTTCGTCGGCGTTTGGGAGGCTTGCCGCACGCTCGTGTCGCTGTTGCGACAGTACAATGACCTCACTGTGAGCGACCAGGCAGCTCGCCACCCCTGTGAAGCCGCGCGCCACAAAGTCGCCAGCTTGTTCCCTAGCAAGGGAGTACGTCCCGTTCTCCCTTCCGGCACGGAAGACAGGAATCCAGAGCCTGCCACCGGGCGTCCCGCTTCCTGCGCCATGGCTAGACTCTCGTCCCCCTGCGCGACAATCACACTGCTTCTGACAATTTACCTTCCGGATGTCAGCTCTACCGCTACAGCGACTCGGTCCCGCCCCCCGAACGTGTCCGAATTTACGGTGTGGTAATTGAGCTACCACGCCGTGTTCGCGTGGTGTCAGCGTCGGGCAGTAGGCAAAGAATACCCTGCGAGCTGCTGTCTCCCCGCTGATCCGTTGTCCATTAATACGCCTGCTTCATCGCTGATGTATTGGCAGGAGGCGAGCTGCCGCGGTAGACTGGCTATTGACGCCGTGCTCGCTGTCGATTGCACGCATTGGCACAGCCGTCCCTGAGACATGTTGCCGCCGTGGCTTGAGACTCATTGGTTGTTCAACAGGTGCCTGCTTGTCCCGAGGATGACGCCTCGAATGAACCATAATAGGACCGACCAGTCACCTTGCTGCGGCGTCTACGAGTGGCTACTACCTCGCGAGGCGGTACGGAGCATGACTCGGACTACGACGGATCGCCTCGAGCGAGCGACTCTATAGCCCGGATATATGGTACAGTCCTCTTTTTCCACCAGCGACTTGTTCCCAAGACTCACCAGTCCTCTCCCGACCACAATACAGAATCCTTCTCGCGGAGACAGCGATGCTACACCAATTAGCACGGCGATGTCACCTACAGACCCGCTGGACAAAGGAACTATGTCCGGACCGACATCGGTACGATTGTTCTAACCATCACGGACATAGGCGCTTCCTCTCGCATCCCTGGGGTAAAAATCTTCATCCGCTCGCGGCGTACTGCACGCCGGAAGATCGATCAAGCTCGGCGCCCACGACGACTCGGAATGGTCGGCGAACTCAATCGACCTCCGGCCTGGCCTTACAACGGTGCATGGTGCTGCGCGATCTTCTGCACGCAGGCGTCGACAGCACTGCTAGTCCTCTTCAAGCTTAGCATTCCGGCTTGCTAGCCAAATCTTGAAGATAATGCATGGCATCCAAAGGCGCTACGCCCGCGCAGATCACTGCTACAGTGAGCGGTGGGCACTCGCGCCGCCCAGTGGCGGCTCCAACCCACCATGGTCGTCAAGTGGGGACAATTCGTCGATTGCGCCGCTGGTTCCTGGACGACGACGCCGGGCTACTCCATAGAGACCGGTGGCTATCGACACGGTCGTCATCGAGCCCCGCGCTAGCTCTCGAGCGCGGAGGTTGCCCCGCACGTCCTGACGCAGCCTATCCGTCGAACGGTGCTGGAAGGATCCGGGCAGCGGTCTCAAGCTCTCATGCACCCCGCTATGGCTGCTGGCGACACACGATGTCAAGGGTGCTCCTTTCGTTAGGCCCAGCTGTCAAGGCTGCTCCAGCGACAGAAGACGACGTGGAAGTCGCAGATCTGCGGGGCACCCCGGCAGACGGCCAGCGGCACGGGGGCCAGGTATGGAATCGGCGGACATGGCTTCATCCGCCAGATAGAATCCCCGCTTCCCATCCTCCGCCACACCCATGACGCCCGCTGATCCCGGGCGTCCGCCTGCGGGACTCGAACACGAGAAGCCTGGGGAACCTGGGGTCGCGGCGAGCAAGGATTGTAGGGTCCAGCAGCGTTCCCTGCCTGCTCGCGCGTGCTGCCAGTGCCATGAATACCCCGCGGCCGCCTGACCAGCAGCGCGGTGCTCTAGGCCCCTCGGCGGAAGCCTTCTTTTTGCGAGACAGCTGTCAAAGTGTATTTCTGAATGGCGAAGGTGAGCTGCGACTAATCAGAAGCTCGCCCTCCGCGTAAGTTCAAGTCCCGTCCGCCCGCGTTTGCGCCGCAAGAGGGTGAGGGCGACTTCCCGGTTCGAGTGAGTAGTCATCTCCATTGCGAGATGGCGGGGGTGGGATGCCTCGCGGACAGGCAGTCGCTGCAACTCGACTGAGAGTGAGTTCTGTATCCAACAACGTCTTCGATGTCACGGCGGCGGGCCGGGCAGAAGGTTCTGCATCAGGCCTTGCCATGCATTTTACAGCTTCGTGATGTGCAGAATGGTGGTCGTTTATTGCCATTACCCATGTAACCTAATTTATCCCAAGGATGTAACCCAATTCATCCCAAGGATCGTCAGTCTTGAGATAACAGATGAAGGAGAGAAAAATACAACATGCTGATCCTCGAATTCCCATTAGCCGACTCGAACGACTGACCTCGTCATAGCAGCATACTAGTGACGCGCTCTACCAACTGAGCTAAACGGGAGTTAGGAGTTGTACCCACCAGCATCTGATCATCAGACGCCGCCGAGGCGGCCGATATGGGAGAGGCCCTTGGCAGGCGGACGGGCGGGCCTTGTCCCCTGCAGCCATTTTCTCAGACGCACCGCAGCGGCCATCCATGCACCCGTTCTACCCCCAGGACCCTCCTCGGGATGCTGGCGACATCTTCAATGGCGGCTCCTCGGGCTCGCAGCCCCAGCAGCAGATGAACTTCCAGCAACAGCTCGGCAGCCTTCAGCAGGTCAACATGGAGATGCTCGAAAACCTTCTCATGCAGGACTCCTCCGGGCAGCAGGGCCAACAGCAGCAGCATTCGCATGCGGCGGCGAACCCACAGGCGATGCTGGAGCATCAGGTGAAGATCAACCAACTGCAACAGCTGCAACAGTTGCAGCAGCAGATATTCCAGCAGCAGGTGCGTCGCTTTGCCCTTCTCGGATCCTGAGAGTCGGGTTGGATTACACGGAATAAGGGAGCGGGAGGCGGGGGAAGTGCGAGAGGCTATCGTATGTGCGCACGAACGCGTATCTGACATGTAAATCCTAGCTCGAGCTGCTCAGCGGAGGTGTATCACTCTTCCCCACTCTACCCCCAGTCATGGACCGGTCCCGGGACACCCCGCAGTTTGGCTTGCCTACTCCAGGTACGTGCACATCCTCTTACGCGTGAACGCTGAGCCTCACGGCTTCCAAGCATCGTCTACCGAGCTCCGGGCGCAGCAAAATACAGACTTTGTCTCGCCTATGCTTCTCCACTCGGGCGGGGCGGCGAACATGGGCAACATGGTGCAAAATCCGGCGATGCTACCCAACTTTATACCTCAGATACCCCAGCATATGCTCCCTTCGGCGCCGCACTCGGCCCCCGCGAACATCGTCTTCCAGAGCCCCGCCTATCCTCTCCCTTCCCCTGGAGAGCTGGACATGAGCGAGCTCCCGCCATTGTCGAGCCCTATGCTTGACTCGTACCACAATACTGCCAACTCGATGTCTTCTGCTGGCTCATCGACGGTCACCGGTCGCGTCCGAAGTGGAACGACCGGCTCGAAACGACCGAACGCGTCGTCCAGTGGCGACGAGTCCAGCGTGACAAGCAAGCCGGCCCGCAAGCGACCCTCGCCCGCCGATAGGAATGCGACGAGCGGATCTTCTAGCAGCAAGAGGGCGAGCATGCGCGCCACTCGCTCTGCAACGTCGACGCCCCTCTTCCCGCCCACTGCGCCCTCGTCTATCATGCCAAGTCCGCAGCGCGGCGCGCATGGACCGATTGAGCATCCCGGCGACACGCCTTCGCCTCTTGACATCGCTATGCCTCCGCCTGCGCATCCCGTGTCGTCGGACGCGCCTTTGTCGGCCATCTCGAGGCCGTCTACGTCGCCGACTCCTCCCCTACCCACGTCGCCTACTTCTCCGACCGTTCCTTCGCAAGCTAGTCAAATCCAGCCGGTCACTCCTGCCACCATACTCAAACTCGGCAGGTTAGCGGTGGGGGGCACCTCGCTCTCGCAGCCACACGACGGCGCTGCCGCGCCGAAGCGGAAGGATGGGAAGCCGAACACGCGATCGAGCAACGGTGCGTCGTCCAAGGCGAAAGCTGCGGACAAAAACGCCGGTGGTCAACACCGACCGATCCGTCCGGGTATGTACACGTTCCATGTGCCGCATGCCGCGTCCGCTAATTTGTCTCCTAGCTGGCAACGCAGTCATGACACCCCTCACGGCCTCCCCAAGTACGCCGTTCATGCCGCCGCAAGTCCGCAAGTCGTCCCACAAAGCTGCCGAGCAGAAGCGGCGCGACTCGCTCAAGACGTCCTTCGACGATCTGCGCGTCCTTCTCCCGCCCATTCCCCTCCCCTCTGAAGACGGCTACCCCGACGAGCCCATCCTGCCCGGGGCGATGCCGCCGCGAGGCCCGCCCAAGGGGAACGCCGAGGGCCCGAACCGCGGCGTGAGCAAGCTGCAGCTGCTCCGCTGCGGGAACGAGTTCATCAAGGTGCTGAAGGGCCGCGTGGAGCGCCGCGACGAGGAGATCGGGCGACTGCGCGAGGAGGTGCGCCGGCTTCGGGAGCTGGTGGGCGACGAGGCTGCTGTGCTGCCCGAGGGCCAGGACATGATCGACCTCGAGCGGGATCTGGACGCGTGCGAGATCGGTGCGGGAGGGCTTGGGCGGGCGATCGCTGGGGGCCGTGCTGGATCGGTTATGGAGGGAGACTACGACGACGACGGAGACTCGTGACGGTGTTGGTGACCCGTCCGGGGGCTGCGTCTTCGGGTTTGGGTGCGTGCGTGCTTTCTCCTCGTTTTCGGGAGCGGGTTGGTAAATGTAGAATCGCTATAACTTGTATGTATCCCCGCGAATTTTATTGTGTACTTATCGCGAGATCCAGTCGTGCATCCTGCGCCGATTGCGGGCAGTTGCTCTCCCGACGCTTCCGTGTACTTACCCGCTCATCCACGAGACCAACAGCCCGCTTCAGACGACGCCTGACGAGCATGCACCGCGTACCGTACGCATGTTCACACTTGCCTGAAGGAACTGTGAGGCGATGCTGCTTGCCCAGGTCGCGCGATCATCTCAGCAAGTGGGCGATCACGATCCGATCGGAGATCTCCCACCGCGTGCCACGTGGCCGTTATTGTCTTGGTTTACTTACCGTAGCCGGGGGCGCCTGCAGTTGCCTCCGCCCGCCACCGTCCCGCTCAACGCTCCTCCGTCTGCGCACTGCGACGCGTTAACCCTCGGTCACCATGTCACAGCCCATTCCCGCGAAGCATCCGATGTGCGTATGGGGCACGCCAGTCCGCACACGCGCGACCGCAGGCTTATCAGAGTTGCTTGCAGGTCTATTGTGTTCTTGCTGCACATCGCGCTGGATGTGCCGATGGCCGTCCAGGGATTGTGGTCGCCCCTGAATCTGCCGTTCCTGCAGATGACCAACACCACGCTCGTGTTCATCAAGGTGCGTTCTGTTTCGCACCACGGAGCAGAAGTTCTAACTTCTGCCCCGCAGATGTACGGCGCGCTCGTCGCCGGGACGTGCATCGCGTCGCTGCTGTGCTTCGGTCTTCCTGGTACGCCCCCCGTTTCCGAACCGCCCACGGTCGATGAGAGTACCCGCTGACCGCTCACGACACCTCGCAGAGTTCCTCCCGGGCAAGCGGGCGTTGGCCATCGCGCTCTGCATCTACCACGCCACGTGCTCGACCATCCTCTTCAATGCCCCGCGGTTCATCCCTTACTCGTTCGGGGCCCTCGCAGAGTCGTACGTCTCACACGCCTATTGCCCGAGCTTGCGGCTCACAATTCGCGTCTTTGGGGCGTGGTCTGCCAGGTATCGTGCGACGCCGGAGGTCGTCTGGGGGACGCTGCACGGCTTCCTCGGGCTGGGCTTCGCGGTGTGGTGGCAGATGACGGTGCAGATGGCCGCCATGGCGGCGCAGTTGACGAAGATGCAGTGAAGATTTTTTCTGGATTTGTGAGTTGCTGTCCTTGGGCGCCGCGCTGATGTGCTTCTCACGCCGTTGCGTTCGCAGAGTTGCTATGATTGGGCTGTTGTAGTGGAATCCGCGTTGCTAATCTATGGGTATGCTCTTGCGTAACGATCTTCACTCTTTTTCTGCCGTGTGCATCTCCGCCCGCATCTTCGTGTGCGTCGGATCCATGGCGCTGCGATGAATCCAGGTTTCTTGCGGAATGCCGCGACCATTCACCACAGCCCACGGCGTGCTCCAGGCCTACACGTCGGTCGAACCGATACCGCCCGGCCATATGAGCGGTGAGTGCCCAAGCTACCCATGCTATTCGCGTCGGTCTGAACATGTTCACAGTGGCACGGTATTCCGCTGTAGCGGTGAATACCCTAATCACCGCTCATGTGGACCCGGTGCCCAAAAGCACGGGTTCCCGCCGAGTTTGAGGCAGCGTCGTCCAGGAAACGGCGAGCACCAACGTGGTATGAGACGGTCGCGACAAGTTGCCTGTGCGAAAAGAAGAAATCTAGGCGCTCTCTACACAGGTCATACGTGCTGATAGATGGTCGTGGGTGGGCAAGCAATGGTGGTGATATCTCCAGCGGTATGCGCGTCACCATACCACCGGGCGGTATGTTGGGGTGTACTATGGCTTGCCCTTGGCAGCATGATGGAGTTATGCTTCCAATTCCTCGAAGAGAACTGAACAAACTGCGCAACACGCATAGATGCACCCGCTTCGATCCACCACGTTCATGATCACGCCGACAGCCGTCTTGTCATCGAGCGAACTCATTGTCAAGGCAGGTGACATCGGCGCCGGCGAATACACCTCTCTACAGAGTTCAATGCTGACAGTCCTCCGCCTCTCTGCAGCCACCTACCCACCTTCCCGTACCGCGACTACTGGTCAGGCCCAGTCTTGCATTGTACTCTGGTTCTTGGTGCCTGTCTCCTGTTCCGACCAAACAAGGACACGAAAACTCGGTGGTAATACAACGGCTCGGTGTGGGACCGGCGGCCGCAATGCTCGGTGTCAATGCGGACGCCCCTCAAGTTCCGATCGACAGATGCATGCGGGACACACGTCGCTTGCTATTGCGGGAGCCCCCTCCGCTGGTTCCCTCGTTTCCCCCGCCGGCTCCCTCGCACCGTGCACCGTGGAAGGCCGTGCGAGTCCTACGTGGGCACGTACCGGGCGCGCGGGATGACGGCCCACAGCACGATGAGCGTGGACATCATCGACACCACGCTGCACGTCCCGCATGCGGTCGCAGTCGAGCGCACATACCGCAGTCGAAGATCAGTCGGGAGGGCGAGAGGTCGGTGGCCCGTTGGAAGGACAAACCAGTGTGAAGTCAGCAAAGCACCGGACAGAGGTGGAGGGATGGGACTGACAAGGGCTGCAGGGACGCGATCCCGAACTTCTGGGCGAGAAGACCGGTAATGAACGGAAGAACCGCGGAGCCGGCCTGTCCGGCGCCGGCGATGTACCCGGAGCAGGCGGTCATGA